GCTCCCACGTCTTCCCCGGGGGTCCCCAGGCCCGCATCCTGACAGCCGTCCTGTGGGGCCTCCCTGCGGTCCGGCATGCTGGGGCCCCGAGGCGGCAGTGTCCAGCTCTGGCACGGTGTGGCCGCTGCCTGGAGCTCAGCCTCCCCCACAGAGAGCTTGGCCTTGAGTGGGCAGTGGGGGCGGGCAGGGCAGGGGCGGGCACAGTGGGGTGGGCCTGGCAGAAGGCGGGTGTGGGGGTCAGGCATGGGCAGTGGGGGTGGACGTGGGCAGGGTCAGCGGGGGAGGATGTGGGCAGAGGGGTTCACGTGAGCAGTGGGGCGGGCGCAGGCTGGGCAGGGGGTGGGCAGGGGCTGGCGCGGGGCCTGGGGTGGCAGGGCTGTGCCAGAGGCCCACTTCCTCTCTGCTTTGCTAGTTGAGGAGGAGGCGGCCAGAGGTGACGCTGCCTCTGAAGCCCCTTTGTCAGGGAGGCCGCGGGCAGCCAACCTCTTTCTGATGCAAATCGGGCCCTTGCCACCGCCAGAGCTCTGCCCCAGAAAGCCTCCGGGGGTTCACAGCCCCCCCCACACCAGGTCGGACCCCCACCCCTGCCCCGCCCAGAAGTTGGGGTGTGTGGCCCGGCCTGCCCGAGCTCAGCCACCGGTTGTGTGTGGGAGAGGCGGAGGGCTTGGAGAGCCCCATGCAGCTGTGGGGGTTCACACGGGTGGGGAGACAGAACCCCAGACCCTGCCCCCAGCAGGGAGCGCCCCAGCAGCCGCCAGGCCAAGGGGGTGTGACGCAGAGAGCCTGGCGCCCCTGCTCCGGAGTGGGGGCGCCTCAGAGGTGGCGGGCTCCGCGGGGGCGCTGCGTCTGGGAAGCTGGGCTTGGGCAGGACGCGGCCGGAGTGACCGCAGGGTCAGAGGGGACAGACCGGCCCTCGGCTTTCAAGCCCGAAATCTTGGCTAAGCAGAAGCCTGGACAGGTCTGCAGAGATGGGGCAGAGCGCCCAGGCTCCCAGGGTGCTGGGCCGGCAGTGGGGGAGGCCGTCGTGCGGCCCAGCGCTGTCCCCTGCCCGCTGCAGTCGGGCCAGCGCGGCCCCGAGCCCCTGCCCGCTGGGGCCGGCCTGCCGGTGTCGGGCTCTGAGCTCCCCTGGGTCCTGCCCTTGGCCTCCGGCAGGGACCCCCGAGCGGAGGGCCCCAGAGGCCGGGGAGGCCGCGCCCTCTGGCCACCACAGCGGGCCGCAGTCCCGGCCGGGGTGCTGCCGCCGCCATGGACAGCAAGCCGCGATCACCCGAGAAAGCTGGAGAGGAAACCGGACCCAGCAGCCCCATTCTGGGGCCACATCCAGGACGCCGGCCTCTGGGGTCACGGTGCGCATCCACGCGGACAGCGGGGTGCAGGCGACGCACAGCGCTGGACCCTCTCTGCAGAGCAGGTGACCACTCAGGCCCAAGCCTGAGGCCCTGAGGCGGGCTTGGGGCAGCACAGCCAAAGGGGGGGTGCTGAGGGGGCGAAGAAAACGGCAAAAGGGAGGACAGCAAGTGACCACCAGAGCCCCGTCCCGGCCCCGGGGGCAGGTGCCAGGGGCCCCGGGGCGGGTGTGGCCAGAGGGTGGCTCCCGCTCCTGAAAGAAATGATAAAGCAGAAGAGAGACCTGGCCAGCCGCACCCAGGCCCTGCCCAGCCCCTGCAGCGCTGGCCGGGTCGGAGGCCAGGGGCCCAGAGCGGCCGCCCAGATGGCAGCGGGCAGGGCCGGTTTTTCTGCTCCCAGAGATTAGATAAGTGGCCAGGGTGGAGAGGGGGAGGCGGCCAGCAGGGACAGCACACGCTGGTGGACCCTGGCTGGCGGTCCCCCAGCGCCTGCAAGATGCTCAGTGCCTGGCCCCTGAGCCGGACACCGAGGCCTCCCGCTAGAGTGGACGCCAGGCCCACGCTGGCCTGCTTTTCCCGGACAAGCTCCTGGCACCCCAGCCACCCCTTGGCCAGCGTGCAGAGGTCACCCTCACAGGGCCTGGCACCATGCTGCCCAGCACCCACAGCCCTGCTGACCCACGCCCTCGGTCACCCTCCAGCCTCGGACCCTGCCTGGACGCGGCGTGCCTCTGTCCTCTTCCCTCCCGGGGGACGCGAAGGCCGTGCCCAGGATCTGCAGCGCAGCTTGGGTGGGCACTGGCCGCGCAGCCCAACGTGCATTTCCCGGGTGTCCGGCTGAACCGGACCCCACGTAACCGACCACCGCAA